AATAATATATAAAATTTAAATTAATTTAATAAACTTTTTTATTTTATTGATTGGATTTTACCATTTCATAAGGGTGAGATAAAACTACTTTAAGGCCGAAATCGAAGTTTTCCTCTTTTTTTTTTTTCCAATTACATGAGAAAACATAACTGATCTCTATTCTTGAGATATTTGCTTAAGGCAAATTGTGTTCTAATTATTTCACAAAAAAATCGCATGGATACGTTATCAAGGCTTATAAATACCCCAAAAGTCACTGACCCAAAGCTCTCTTTTTTACGCAGGCATGGAGTGTTTACTTGAAGTCAAACCTAGAGATGGTAACAGGTCCCCACAGGCGCGGGACTCCTCCCCATCCCCCTCGCCCCCTCCCCTTCAATGATGATGGTACGGGGATTCTCATTGGAATTTTTAACGGAGAATAAAAAATAGTCTTCGTCCCATACCTGCTAGAAATAATAGGTTTCTGTGGGTATTCAGAGTTTTCACCAAATAAAACTCGATGCTTGTTTTTTGTTTAAGAAATTAACTGAAAATAAAACGAATTAAGAGTTTGAATGAGTCTTGAAATAACAATACAATTATCGTTCATTGCGAATGCGAGAAAGAAGCTGCGCATGCATGTAAACAAATAAAAATCGCATTTTAATAATCTTGCGAACAATCAAAGGGAAAATGAAATTAGAAATAATAAGACCAAAAAAATGAGATCTGCTTCACCTCAAAATAAATCATTAAGTATAAATACTTACAAATGCTCACAACTTAGACTTAGGCAAACTGCAAGTAGCAGGCTAAAAAATAGAAACAGAACTATGAGCACTACCTTTCAAAGGTAGTCAAGAATGATAGGTTGGAGGGAATTAACCGATTGAAAAACAAAAACAAAGCCAATGAGCTACAACGCAGAGGAAAGGAGACTGGAGTCTGGAGTCTGGAGTTTGGAGAGAAGAAATCGCAGAGCAGATTTACAAATCTCAAAAATTTGAAATAGTCCTTTTAGTTCTAGAGTTATTAGCAAATTGGGCTAGACTTAGGTAATTAAGTTTAAAAAGATAATGAAAATTGAGTTGGACTTGGGCAATTAGGTTTAAGAAGATTATGGGTTAAACTAGACTATATAATTGAGTTTGTAAAAACTAAACAAAAAAGATTGATTAATTAATTAAGTTAAATAAATAAAAATTAATTGTTAATATATTTAAAAATACATATATAAATAAATATATTTATTTTTTATTTTATATGAACCGAATAGGAGAGGGGAAAATGAAAATGCGAGGTGATTGAA